ACATGATGTGCTCTGTCAAAGAAAAACCACTAGTACGGATACATTTCTTTTTGAAGCATCATTTTTACTTGGAAGTTAAAAGTATTTTCTTCAGAATTTATTGGTCATCTTTTTTTAAGGTTTACTTACTAATATGTTGCACTGGGATTCTGAAAAAAACTCCTTTAAATTTTTAAATATCTCATTTCCCCCCTTAATTTAAAGTGTTAAGATATTTGTGTATGTAAGAATACTAGAAGATATAAATATATGCATATATATACACATATATACATGATACATATATTAAGCACTTAACATATGTTGATAGAAGTAATTTTTGTATACATAATAAGATAATGGATTATTTTCTTTTATGTTTATCTGTTACTCAGATTTTATGCAATGAACAAGTATTACATTTATCATCTTTTTATTTTCATAGTACTCAAACTGCTAAGAAAAATGAAGTTTTTTTAAGGTGTGGGACTCTGTGTGATTAACCGTTATTATTAACTGAGTACATGGATGAAAATCTTTCTGATCAAATTTCTCTTTTTTTGAGACATACCTGACACATACCATTAGATTAGTTTCAGGTATACAACATGACTTGACCCATGTATATATATTGTGTTATGATCACAGGAAGTCTAGTTACAAGTTTACGTACAAACAGTTACGAGTTTTTTTCTTGTGAGAAGAACTCCTAAGATCCACGCCCTTAGCAACTTCCAAATATACAATATTAGTAACTATAGTCACCATGCTGTGCGTCACATCTGTGGGACTTATTTGTGCTTTTGACCACCCTCACCCACCCCCCCACTTCCCACCTCTGGCTACCCCCAACCTGTTCTTTTTACCTATGCTTTTTTCTTTCTTTTCCAATTCCACATTTCAGTCAAGATTCTATCACTGGATCACATGGTAGTTCTATTTTTAATTTTTGGAGGAACCTCCACATCATTTTCCATAGTGACAGCACCAGTTCACATTCCCACCAACAGTGCAGGAGGGTTCCCTTTTCTCCACGTTATCACCACAGTACTTGTTATATTATCTTTTTGATGGTAGCCATCCTAACAGGTGTGAGGTGATATCTCATTGGGGTTTTGATTTGCATTTTCCCTGACGGTTAGTGATGCTGAGTGCCTTTTCATGTACCTGTCGGCCATCTGTATGTCGTCTTTGGAAAAATGTCTGTTCAGGTCTTCTTCCCATTTGTTAATTGGACTGTTTGGTTTTTTGCTATTAAGCTGTAAGAGTTCTTTATATATTTTGGAAATTAACTCATCCTGTACAAGCATATCTCATTTTATTGTGCTTTTCACTTTATTGCACTTTGCAGATATTGTGTTTTCCACTAACTGAAGGTTTGTGGCAACCCTGCCTTGAGCAGGTCTACTGGCACCATTTTTCTAACATTGCCCGCTTCCTGTCTTTTGTGTTACATTCTGGTTACTCTCGCAATATTTCAAACTTTTTCATTACATTTGGTACGGTGATCTGTGATCAGTGATCTTCGTTACTACTATGACTCTCTGAAGGGTCAGATGATGGTTAGCATTTTTTAGCAATCAAGTATTTTTTAATTAAGGTATGTACGTTGACTTTATAAGACATAATGCTTTTGCACACTTAATAGACTACAGTTTAGTGAAAACACAACTTTTATATGCACTGGGAAACCAAAAAGTTCATGTGACTTGCTTTATTGTGGTAGTCTGAAAACAAACCTGCAATATCTCTGACGTATGCCTGTATATGATTTGCAAATATTTTCTCCCATTTGGCAGGTTGCCTTTTCATTTTGTTGATGGTTTCCTTTGCTGTGCAGCTTTTTAGTTTGATGTAGTCTCACTTGTTTACTCTGGGTTTTCTTGTGTTTGCTTTTGGTGTCAAATCCAAAAAATGCATTGCCAAGACGAATGTCAAGGAGCTTACCACCTTTGTTTCTTTCTAGGAGTTTTATGGTTTCGGGATATACATTTAAGCCTTTGATCCATTTTGTGAGCTGATTTTTGTGTATGGTGTAAGACAGTGGTCCAGTTTCACTCTTTTGCACATGGCTGTCGTTTTCACCCAGCACAGTTTATTGAAGAGACTGTCCTCTCCCCCACCGTACATTCTTGGCTCCTTTGTCATAAATTAATTGGCCATATATGCATGGGTTTACTTCTGGGCTCTTCTAGTCTGTTCCACTGATCTATGGATCGGTTTTTACGCCAGTACTGCACTATTTTATTATAGTTTTGTGATATAGTCTGAAGTCAGGAAGCATGATTCCTCCAGCTTTGTTCTTCTTTCTCAAGATTGCTTTGGCTGTTTGGGGTCTTTTGGGATTCCATACAAATTTTAGGATTGTTCTGTATCTGTGAAAAATGCCATTAGATTTTTGATAGGGATTGCAATAAATCTGTAGATCACTTGGGTAGTATGGACATTTTGACAATATTAATTCTTCCAGTCCATGAGTGTGGAATACCTATTTATTTGTGTCTTCAGTTTCTTTCATCGGTGTCTTACAGTTGTCAGAGTACAGGTCTTTCACCTCCTTGCTTTTATTTATTCCTAGGTATTCTTTTTGATGCAATTTGTAAATGATAGTTTTCTTACTTCCTCTTTCTGATAGTTCATTATTAGTGTATAGGAACGCAACAGATTTTTGTAAGCTAATTTTGTATCCTGCAACTTTACTGAATTCGTTTATTAGTTCTAACGGTCTTTTGGTGGAGTCTTTAAGAGTTTTCTGTATATACTATCATGTCATCTACAGTGAGAGTTTTACTTCCTTTCCAATTTATATGCCTTTTATTTGTTCCTTGCCAAATTGCTCTGGCTAGGACTTCCAATACTATGTTAAAGGAAGTGGTGAGAGTGGGCATGCCTGTGTCGTTCCTGATCTTAGAGGAAAAGCTTTCAGCATTTCCACTGAGTGTGGTGCTGGCCGTAGACTAATCAAATTTCTTAATGCTTACAATAAATATTAACTTAGGTCGGAACTTGACTGTTGGGGATCAGTGGCTGTGAAAACATTTATAGGGCACAAAGAAGCAAGGTTATATTGGAATAAAATTTTAAGGAGCATGAGAAAAGAGAGCAAATAAGAGTGTCAGTAATGTTTTGAACACTATCGTGAATGATTTCTAAAACTGTTGTTGTTTAAGGAAATTCCAATATATATGAAGTAAAGAATGTTACAGGAAACCTCAGGTACTCATCACCTAGTTTCAACTGTCACTTATTCATGGCCAATCTTGTTTCATTTCCAGTCTTCCCCCTGCCTTCCTCTCCTGTCTCTCAGTTATTTTGAAGCTAATCCCAGACATCATATGTTATCTGTAAATGTTTCAGTATGTATTTCTAAACATTGAAGACTCTTTTTATTTAAACCGTAACACCATTATCGCCAGACCTTAACAGTACATCCCAAGTATCATCAGGTTGCCACTCAGCCATGTATCATTTCCCAACTGTCATGTATTATACATATACACAACATACATCTTATAAGCATTATATAAATTTTATTCACTTACATGCATTATATTCACTTTATGCATTATAAATATATAAATTACTAGTTGTTTGAATCAGGATCCATATAAAGTCCATACATTGCAAGTGTTTCCTAGGTCCTTAAATCTCTTAATCTAGTTTTCCATATATCTTTTTTATTTCCTTGTAATTTTTTGAAGAAACTGGGTCACTTATTCTGCAGGGTTTTCAGAGAGTGAATTTTGCTAACTGCATTACACGGGCGTAGTTTATGTATAATTATCCGTTCCCTGTATTTCTTATAAACTGATAGATCCAGAAGCTTAACGGTTTTTTTTTTTCTTTTAGCGAAACTACGTCATGGGTGGTAATGTGACCAAATATTATTTTAAAGCCAGTATCTCCTCAAGTGGTTTGGGCCCTGATTTTAAAGACACCCAGGTTAAATGAAAGGACTCTAGTCATAACATATTTGTGAGGCAGACAATAGTTAGTGACTTGCCTTCTCTGGAATAATGTACTAGTTAAAATTATCTCCAGGAATCTTCTGCATGGATGCAAATGCATAAGAGCAATTAAATGGTATTCTGTGGGTCTAGGAATCTCATGGAATTGGCCCTTTATGACTGCGGTGGGCACTGTAAAATACATATTACGCTTTATAGACCTATGACGTCTGGTAGTTTCTGGCTATTTAACTCTTATTTAAATTAAATTTCAAAAATTTATTCATTCATTCATTCACACGTGCTACACTTCAGGTGCTCCACAGGCATCGGAGGGTTGTGGCTACCGTACTGGACAGCAGTGGTACAGAAATGGAGAAGCAGATGAAATGCGTGAAATTTCTTTGGCATTCAAGTAGATTTTTGGATGTTTATATAGTTTGTATTTCTGTAATGCTGCCTCTAATATATAACCGCCCTTTTAAAGCATGAATGTTACAGGGCTGTTCTTTTGTTGTTGGTGGGAAACATGAGAAGTGTGTTGTAGACACTCTTAAAATCTCTCCTGTTTTCTGCTGTAGCTCAGCTTGGTAATAAGCACCTCTAGACTCTATCCATCACCTCCAGAAGGCGTACCAGTAGGTGGCATATAAACACAGATGAGCCCGTGCAGTGACAGCAAGGCTGGTGATGGGTGCTAGGCTAGGTGGTCAGAAACACACACACACACACACACACACACACACACACAGGGAAGACCTCTCTCCAAGTTTCTATTTCACATTTTAATGAAATGACTTCATGGAGTGAAGTTTTATAGCACCAAAAACACATCAGCAGAGAGAGCCAGAAACGTTGACTCTCACAGACATCGTGTTAGTTAGATGTCTGGTTGAAAGAGGAATTCCCTAAATGCTAGAGGTATTGTGAAGGAACGGCTCTCTCCGAAGGGCACCTGTTACCAGCTCTCTTACCCGTAGACAGCAACCTCACCTACCTGAGTACCGCTTTACTTTGTCTCAATCTGGTTTAAAAATGCTGTAAAGTAATCAAACTCTGCTTAACCTTTTACAGCGGAAGTTCAGAGTGAAATTGAAAGGATTTTTGAACTTGCAAGAACATTGCAACTGGTGGTCCTTGATGCAGATACTATTAATCATCCAGCCCAACTTAGCAAAACCTCTCTGGCCCCTATTACAGTGTATGTCAAGATTTCTTCTCCTAAGGTAAGTAGGGTTGTTACTGTTTGCTCTGTAATGGAACTTTACTAAAATGTGTATTTATAGTCTGCATTCCAATTATAAAAGGGCTGTGTCTTTATCCATCAGAAAGGGTCTGAAGAGAGACGTGGTGGCCGAGAATTGTTGTTAAGATTCATATAAGCAAGCATGATGATGAGTTTCATGGCTTAGGAGAGTGATTCCCAAAGTGTGGTCCATGGATTCCTGGTGGGGGAGGTTCTGACACACTTTTTAGAGGGTCCATGAGGTCAGAACCATTTCCATGATTATTATCTAAGCACTGTCTCATACTCAGACATCCTCCCCCTTTTTCACTGGTTTGACCTTTGCACCAGTGGTGCAGCAGCAGTGCTGGGTGATGGCTAAGCAGGAATCAAGACCACAGTAGCAGGAGCAGCTGTGGCATTCTCCCTCCCCACGCACTCCCAGGTTAAAACACACACACACAAAACCCAATTTCACTTAAGAATGTCCTGATAAAGTAGTAAAGATGCTTAGATTCTGACGCTTCAGTACAAACCTTCTTAATATTCTATGTAACGAAATGGGAAGCTCACTTCCACTTCTTTAGCTACGTACTTGAAGTCCGTTTTCTCGAGGGCAGGTACCAGCGTGATTCTTCAAGTCATAAACCAGAGTAGCCACTTTCATCCTGGAACACCATTTTTATTGGAAAGAACAACTGACATGTCCTTCAAATTTCAGGGCAGATCAATGGAATTTAATGTAACAGAGTAAGAAAAGTTCATTGATTGATTGATAGGGGTTTAGATTTCACATGAGAGCTAGTCTTTAAAAAGCTACCACTTGTTGACTGTAGTATCAAAGATATCCACAATTATCTGAAAACTTCAGGCTACTAAAATACCTCTTTACGTATCTCTAGGGGACTGGATTTTCTTTGGCTGTTTCAAACAGTATATACTGTAGCAGATTCAATGTAGAAGCAGGGAACAGCAGCTGTCTTCTGTGAAGCCAGGCGTTAGAGGAACCTGCAAATAATTTAGCTATTTTTATCAGAAGGCATGGCATGTTAACATAGAAGAGGTTACTGGTCACTCTTAAATGAATTTTTCAGTTTTAATTTCTAATATATAACTATTACAGTTCACATAAAAAGCTCTTGGGAGCTCTCCACAGTTTTTAAAAACACAAATCAGGAGACAAAGTTTGAGAACTGCTAGCCTTGAAAAAAGACAAGACTCAGAAAAATCTCCACGCTGGTGATTTACGAAGCTTGCGACTGAGATTTATGTTAACATGTTAATTTTGCTGATCATCTTGAAGATTCTGTTTTCTAGCTTAATCTATTTGTAAACCATTAGTGCTGCATGCAGAAGACACCGGAGAAAGGAACGAATAATGAACCTTGTTCAGATACCCCAGTTTAAGAATCTCGTCTTTTACAGGTTTTACAAAGGTTAATAAAATCTCGAGGGAAATCTCAAGCTAAACACCTCAATGTTCAGATGGTAGCAGCAGATAAGCTGGCTCAGTGCCCTCCGGTAAGTCTCTCTATGCAGTGCTTAAGCCACTTGAAGGCTTCAGACCTGCATTCCGTTAACAAAAACCAGACGGACAGGTAAACGCCTGTCCAGGGAGAGAACCCTGCCCATTAACAGTGGGTTTCCTCCCAAAGACGGGAACGGTCTACCTCTTACCACGAGCACTTGTCTAGGTCATGGTCGTCGCTTACGAACCGCTACGGTGTGTTCCGTGGTGACCCCGCTTTGTTAATCTAACACCTCAGTAGTCATCTTTAATGAAACACAATCGTTGTTTTAAAACTTTGGTTGAAAAGATGGCTCTGTTTGGGGTTGGTTTATTACTCACTTCTAGTCAGGGAGCAAGTTGCTGGCTCGTCATCACCGTCTAAGAAGTTGATCTGAGAACATTTCTAAAGCACTCACTAACAGACTCTGACACCTGAACACATTCCTACCTCGAATCCCCTGCTTTGTGCCTGCGTGCTTCCGGCTTTTGTTCTGGCTTTTTCTTTTTTTAAATGAAGGTATATCAAAAGTTTCAAGAACTGGGATCAGACCCACGTATAATTACCGGGAGTACATTAACATTTGTAAGAACTCTGAACTGTTCTGAAGTCTGGGCCACGTTCAATCATTAGTGGCTTCGGCTTCCTCACGTCCTCACCTCATCTCAGTCATTTCCAAGGTTCAGCTTTTCATAGTCTCTGACAAAAACAGGCTTCTTCCTGTACTGTTTGTTTGGTTTATATTCTCATTTTCTTTTGTCCTTCTCGCCCCTCACATAGGATCAATTCCTTTTTCTCACTACGGGCAACTTTCCTCTGGTGCCCCTAACAACTGTTATCACACCTGTTCACTTCCTGGTCACTCACACAGCGAAGCGGTGAGGCCACAGCGGGCGGTCAGCCCCTGCGAGGACAGGAGGAGCCCGTCGCCACGGCAGGGATGCAGCGTGCAGCCCTCGGGCGCCCTCCATGCCCCTGGCGTGCGGGAGGCCCAGGGGCAGCGCGGGCGAGGCGCCCGGGGCGCCCTGGCCGCCCGTAAGCACGCCGTCTGCACTGTCTGCCCCTGCAGGAGCTGTTCGATGTGATTCTGGACGAGAACCAGCTCGAGGACGCCTGCGAGCACCTCGCCGACTACCTGGAGGCCTACTGGAAGGCCACCCACCCGCCCTGCAGCAGTGTCCCCGACCCTCTCCTCAGCCGTACCTTGGCCACCTCAACCCTGCCCATCAGCCCCGCCCTGGCCCCCAGCTCACAGGTGAGCGGTGCTCCCTCCTACGCTCGCACCACTGGGGTCCAGGGCTCCGGGGCGGTGCTCGTTCCAGTCGGGCAGCCCTGTCCAGAATGAGATGGAACACCAAGTCCCTTAAGTGTCTCCAGCGTGAGCTGTGCGCCTGTAAGAGGAGTGTAAACAGCATCCTATGAAGTACCGTAAGCCCCCCACATACGAACGAGTTCCGTTCCTAGAAGGCGTTCGTAAGTCCAGCACAGTTAGCCTAGGCTACCCACTAACACAATCAGCTATATAGTACTGTACCGTGAGAGGTTTATCATACTTTGCACACAAACAATACAGAAGAAACAAACAAAAGCTAAAACATTTTTAACCTTACAGTACAGTCCCTTGAAAGAGGACAGTCGTACCTGCTAGGTCACCACTGCTTTTGCACTCGCTACCGACCACCCTGGGCTTGAAATAAAGATACTGTACCACCGTACCCTATACGGTAGAGAACACGAAAGCACAACCACTTGTAGAGGATGCACGCGCATGACAATGTGCGCCAGACATGTGAGCTAACTTACGTGATTCGACACACGAAGCTGTGTTTGCATCTTTGAAAGTTCACAACCTGAAGGTCCGTGTGTAGGGGACTTACTGTACATAAACCGTAAAATCCGCTCTCCCCATATTCTGTTAGGGCCAGGATAGAGGAAAGAGGAACTTTCTGTGTGGCCGGCAGCACAGACTGTGGACTCAGACTACCTGGCTTCAATTCCCTCTCCTCTCCACCCCTTCCCAGGGGTTTAACATTAGCTACAATCCTTACCTGCCCTTTGCCTCAGGAATACTAATGACCCTACCTCGTGGGGCTGTCATGTGACTTTTCTCATGAGATTGGCTTACAGGGTTGTTGTATTTAATCAGTCAATATACATGACTGTCTCATAACACTGCTGGTCTCATATTAAGTGCCATTTAAGCATTTGACATTTTATCATTTTTTTCCCTTAAAGCCAACATCCTAAGAATTTTTAATCTTCCCGCCTGTATCCGAGCAGAGGTGGTTAAGTGTCCACCCATGTGTAGACAGATCTCAGGGACCTATATCTATATTTGAACCACAAGAGAACGTATAAAAGAAGGCCCGCCCTCCTTCATTCATTCATTTTAAAAAAATCTGTAAAGTTACTCTGTGCTGTTCTGGGCGCTTACAGATTAACAGAAAGTCCAATACAATATAAATGCTACTGGATGTTATCGAACCCATTAAGCAACCGAGCTAGGTCAGATTTCATTTCGGCACTTTAGAGACTTTGAAAAGGGACTAGACTTGTATGGACTTGCCTTTGTGACAGTTCCCCAGACCCTGACCTTGGCTGAGGCCTGTGTTTGCTCCTTCGCCTCCAGGCCTCTCAAGGGGATCCGAGGACCGATCGCACGGCTGCCGCCCGTTCTGCTTCCCAAGCTGAAGAACCCTGCCCAGACCCAGTCAAGAAACCCCAGCACCACAGCCATCGCAGCGGGGCCAGCCGAGGCCTCTCCAGGCAGGAGACCTTGGATTCAGAAACGCAGGAGAGTCGCGACTCCGCATACGCGGAGCCCAAGGAAGATTATTCCCACGAACATGCAGACCACTGTGCCCCACACCGAGATCACAGCCACAGAGAGGAACCCCACGGGGGCGGGGAGCGCAGACACAGGGAGTCTCGGCACCGCTCCCGGGACCCGGATCGAGAGCAGGACCACAACGAGGGCGACAAACAGTGGAGCCGCCACAAATCCAAGGATCGCTACTGTGACAGGGAGGGGGAAGGGGTGGCCAGGAGACGGCATGAGGCTGGGGACTGGAACAGGGAGGTTTACATCCGCCAGTGACTTTTGCCCTTTTGTGTCGTTGGTTTTCTTATTTTTAAGTAAGTCTTGTATACCACCACCCTCCAACTCAATCTTGGGGGGGTCTACATTGCAATCATATGTGATCTGTCTTGTATATTTTGTACTGCTGTTGCTTGGATAGCAACAGCATGAAATAGAGTATTAATATACTTTTTATTTTCCTTTTGTAAGTAAGTGCTATATAAATTCGCCTGGAAAGGCTGCAGTCCTCTGGTTGTCTACTGCACTTTGAAAACTGTCTAGGATCGCTGCCACTTGAACAATATCATCTGTTGCCATCCAGGTGGCATCAGGATTTTAAGAAGCATAGCTGATGTTTTCGAAAACGTGGTTGATGTATCCAGTGGGCCAGAATCAGTTGGCCCACATAAAAAGTGGAATTTCTTGATTCTCCCGATTTTTAATATGTAGGCACCTGATTTGCATATTCATCCATGGACCACTGTTTCTTGCTTGTACCTCTGGCTGACTGACTAAATTTGGGGACAGATTGTCTTGCCTTACACAAAAGGGATCAAAGTCAGAATCTATTTTCTATGTACTAGTATTGTGTACTGTATAGACAGTTTGTAATGTTATTTCTGCAAACACCTTCTTATAATTATATATATATATGTGTGTGTGTGTATATATATATATATATATATATAGATATAGATATATATATATATATATATCAGTCAATCAGTTTGATCACACTATTTCAGAGTCTTAATGCCAAGCCAGCAGATTTGCTTTCTGAATTACAGGGACTAGAAATGCCCACCTTCAGGAAATTTGTAATAACGTCGTCTGGACACCTATTCCCGTTCTAGTAGAGAGTCTGTACATACTGTAAATACGTGTGACTGCCTGACTTGAAAAGGTTTGATTTCTGAATGTTCCTCCATCCCTGTACGTTAATCATTGTGACCATAAATTCTGGGAAATATAACCAAACTCCAAGGGTTGCTCCGCTCCGTGCCGTTCACACTGATTGAGTGTGACGGCCACGTCCTGCATAGCCAGTGTCTCAGGTCACGGCACTGGAGTCTGGGAGCCGCGTGTGCACGAGCCAGTGATGGGCGTGCACGCAGACAACAGCGGCGGCCAGCCCGGGGCCGAGGCGTCCACCCGCCTGGCTCCGCGGCTCGCTGCGCCGCTGTGGCCCGCCGAGCCGTCAGGGGCCAGGAGGGCACGCGCCGCCAGAGGGGACGCCCCGGAGAGCTGCCTCCCGCTGGCTCCTGGAGAGGGGCCACACGGTCCACTGTGATGAGTGTTTCACTGGAAATGTCCGACGACCTCTCGTCTGAGAGAGAAGCGTTTACACAGATGCTCCCGACTCCCCCCATCTCCTCGCCTCGCCTCGCCCGCCGTGCCCGTTGTGTTCCCCCCGCTCCGACACTTTCACTGGCCGTCACAACCTCGAAGTGCTTCTTATAACCAAAGCTTCTGCTCTTCGCAAGAAATCAGGGCAAAAGGAGGTGACTTGAAGTGAACAAGACGTTGAGGTTTTCCTGCGTCGGACACCTGCTCTGAGGGGAAGCCAGAAGATGCTGTGGCCCTGCGTCAGGGACACCGCCAAACGCGGCCCACGAGGCGGTGGTCACGCTGAGCCTGAAACCTTCCCTGTCTCTCCTAAGTGTCCGTCTGTCAAGACTGGACAGGTAAGACAGACAGTATCAGGCGTGCAAGTACCTGGCACTTGAAGTCTGTCCCTGGAAAATGCCTGTCTTGATTGCCTACCTTCAGACCTGGACATTAAAAATTATTATTTTGTTAAATAAGTTAAGCTATTTTTTGTTTCGCTTCTTCGATTATTCCAGGTTCTTGCCAAATATATCTTGGACCTTTATAAATACAACTGTTTCACATCTAACTCCTTATTCCTCTCCCCCAAAGAAAAGTCAGAGTTGTAAAAATGAGTTAACATATAGTGTTTTATCAGCTAATATAGGAACCATTTCCCTCAATCTCTTTGTTAATTAGCTCTGTACTGTTGACATACCTTTATTTATTGAATATAAAAACAGTAGTCATAATATATAAATTTTTGATGTAAAATATTCACATCATTGGGAAACCGTATTCCAACTAAAGTTACTTTTATAAAATACTTCCAGTCAGCTGTCCATCATGGTACCACATCAATGATCGCCAGCCCCGACCCTTCCTATACAAAGTTTCATCCCAGTTCATGGCTTTGGAATATGTAAATTCTTGAAGTATAACTGGTATGTACCTTTTTTGCTGCTACCATTAATCCCTTTCAAAGAATCATGCTAACGGATTCCATTTTTAAAATTTTGACCTGGACTCTTCGTTTCTCACTTTACTGTGAAACACACTAGTCCAAATCAGAGTATTCCGCAAAATCTCTATTGCAGGATTTGACAAAAGAGCACCCTTATGTGAAAACTAGAGTGGGCATATGTGTGAACGGTGTGTACTAAATATGTAATTGAAGAAATAATCCCAAGGACAATGGGATATTCACTGACTTGTGGAATGTAAAATTCTAGTCTTTTCAACACAGCAAAGGTTTAATCTTAACCGACTCAGTTGTAGAATCACGATTGTTGTAGTTAACCTAGAAAATGCTGGAAAAGTTTTGAATAGTTCTGTGTCTTTTTCCTCACACCCATTTCAGCCTTTCCTCTGCTCTTTCTCTACTGCTCACTTAAGTTACTGTTACAAAAAGGTGCTGCTAAACGTAGGATGTCTTAGTTATTCTGTACTTTGGGACAGTGCCACATTTTAACATGGTCTGCTCTGCATTCATGTTAAACCTTCACTGTCAGCTACACTGAACTGTTCAACAAGCCTGGTTTAAAGTCATTCATTCATAGCAAACAAATAAAGAGGTGGCTTCTGCACTGTCTACTATTAGTTGTATTAAGTGCCATTTTAGGAATGATTCTTACAGCTGAAAGTATGTTAAATACTCACCTGCACTTCGCGTGTGTGGCGCATCATCCTGGGGGGTGCTGCCCATCACTGGTGGGCTGTGGTCATCTCCCCACGACACCTGAAAAGTGACAGCTTCTGGCAGGTCAAAGGCCTCTGAAGGCCTGAGCACGGCAAAGCCAACTTTCTCCCACCTTCATCCGATATGGTCTGCAATTCTTGCCTCCGATTTTGAACTGTACTTTTCCTTTCTAAAATAAACTTGTCATCAGAATGGATCTTCAGTTCCTTGCCCTTTGCTCCGTGACACAATGCTGCTACTCCTGGATAATCTTACTAACACGTCAAGAGTCATGCTGTTGGAGAAAACAGGCAATCAGAGGGCTCTGGGTCAGTTGTTGAATCGTGTTATATTTTTAACTATTTGTACTTTACTGTTTAAAATGTGATACACGGTTTTGAAGTAAAATGTACTCACTGTTGAATTAAAATGCTTCTGTTTCACAGATATAACTATGGTAACATTAAATACGTTAAAAGAGAATATATTCATTCTCTTCCACATTTCCCTGATTTTTGTCCTTTTGTCATATTTTTTCTTAAATGTCTGTGTTCCTTAAGATTGAATGTTTTATTTTCCAATTTGTTTTATTTTTTTGAGAGAAAGAAACCCACTGAAAAATGTCTATGTTAAAGAAACAAATTTTAACAATATTTTTGTTTGTCCTTACTGTTTTCAATATGTAAATATTTTTCTTCTGTTTTGCCTGCACTGCTTGTATTTTGATATTTGTTGGTATTAACCAAAACTTTACACATTTGCTACTAGGCTCCTTCCCTACCATTTCCATCCCAGCCTAGCACCTAAGGCTCTGCAGAGAGCATGAAGGATGGATTTTGTGTATTTTTCAAAAACACTGAAAGTTCAAGGAAGTGTGCTGAGCCCTAGAAGCAGAAGTACCACAGGTCAACAGTGTTTCTCTTTATGCAGATGACATCTACTGGATATCAGGCAGAATGAGGGACGGAAAGAAGTCAGTCACATGTTTGAATCTTAGGGAGCTTGATGGGGTTTTTCCCTCGTTCAATAAGCGTGTAACAATGATCTGCTCTGAAGCTGTACAGAAAGCACAGTCCTGCCTCCAGAATGTTCCCAAGCCTGGGGGCAGCGGTCCAGGGCATGCCTTGTACACTAGAGTGATGTGTCAAGTGCCGTGACAGGAGGAGACAGAGGTATGAGGGGTGTAGAGAGAGACATGCCCGACCCAGCCTCAGAGAAGGGTGTGCAAGAAAGGCTTCCTCAGAGCAGGGGCCTCTGAAGATCTCACCTGATCCAAGATGAGATGAGCATTCTTCATGAATACAAGGAAGTTTCAAGAAATTCCTAATGGAGACCTATGAAGGAAAAAAATATATATATTAGGCAGTTGCCCGAGGCTCAGGAATTTTGAGGTGATTTGAATTAACAAAATAGATGTATTTAACACAACATGAGATAGCTTTTAAACTATGGCTGGGTATTTTAATATATTTTATCTAAAAAGCAGGTAGGATGAGAAGCAAGCCTACAGTTAACAATTCATTTTAAAAAGGCCGTCCACTTATATTGGCCGCCATGGGTGATGTTTGGTCACTTCTGCAGTCTGGGTGATTTCAGGTCTGATGGTGGTCTTGTTTCGTCTTGACCTAGTCACAGTTGCTTGGTCTGGGGAAGGTGTTCTGTGGAGTTGCTTCTGTTCAGAGGGAGAACACCAAGGCTTAGCTGTGAGTGCCTGGCCACTTCCCAGCTCTCACAAGATGGTTTTCTCACCAATCATGTCTCTAGGAACTTGTATGTATTCCATTAGATGATAAAAGGTACCCGAATTGTGCAATAGTCTCATTTTTAATCTACAGAGCTTAAAAAAATTCATTTTAGTTTTTAGTTTAAAATATGACAGAAGAAAAAACGTCAACATAGTGAAGGGAGACTGTCATTGGGAGTAGTCCAGAATTCATTTGAAAGAGGGTTGATTTACCACATAGTAAACAGAAAAAGTCAGGTAAAATCCCCAGCTACGTTCCTGGCACTTGATAAATAAGTTATAGGTCCCACACCCTGAATTCTGAAGAAACTCAATAACGGAAAACGTGTTTTATAACCAAATTAAATACCACTAATTTTATTCCTTTTGTTAAATCCACTTATTTTAACATTAAAAATGACTTGCATTCTTTACAAATTAAAACAAAGACCCCAACTGAAAATATGTTCCAGACA